ACACACACACACACACACACACACACACACACACACACACACACACAGGCACATACACCACAGAGTGGTGCAGACTGACAAAAGTCACAAATAATGCCTATAGGACATGCGGAGGGTAGAAAATGCAATATTGACAAGAGCCCAAGCCTTGCTGCCCGGGCCAGGGAACCTTGTAACCCCATGGTTCCACCTACCTTGTTTTTTGTTTGCTTGCTTGCCTACATGTATATCTGTGTACTTTATGTATGCCTGTTGCCGATGGAAGTCTGAAGAGGGCATTGGATTCCTCGAAAAGGGAGTTACAGATGATTGCGAGCCCACAGAAAAAGTGCTGGGAACCAAACCAGGTCCTCTGCAAGAGCAGCCAGTGCTCTTAACTGCGGAGCCATCTCTCCGGCCTTTCCCACCACCTGGACTTATGATACAGGCCTGGAACTCACCCAGCAGGCCAGGCTAGTTAACTCTGCTGGTCTCCTCCCGTCTCTGCCTCCCTATTCTGAGATTATAGGCACGAGCTACCATGACTCTTCAGTGAGCCGAATGGATCTACCTCAGCTCCTCACGAACTTTTACTGACTAAAGTAGGGAATGGAGAAAGCCCTAAGGGGGCGAAGTCTTGAGTGAATGTGTATTTTTGCACAGGCAAAGCCACGTCAAGGACTTCAAGACCTCAGACCCATGTGACAACTGACAAAGCCTCAAGAGAAATGACAAAGTTTTTTTTTCTCAGCAGTCCAAGCATGAGAGTTGATGAGTTATCGATCAGTGTGTTCAAAGACTAGCAACTGCAGCTCCCTCCTCCTGAATACTTACAGGCTGAGACTGTTCACCTGCCACGGAGACCTCCTACCCAGACCAGCTAGCTCCTCCCACTACGGATACCTAATAAATGCTCTGAGGTTTCAGATACTCTGAAGTTTCAGGTTATGGCAGTAGTGGAAGCACAACCCCACCGGATCCCTCCCAGTTTCACTGTATGGGTGTCTGTGTGTCTGTCATTCTTTCATTCTTTCAACACCCCCAGCTAGAGTTTTGGGACTCAAGTCCTCCTGGTTGAGGTAATTGAGTCATTCCCTAACCCACTACCTCCTGCTCTGTGCATGCCTGGTGCCTTTGAAGAGGGAACCAGAAGGGGCCTTGGATCCCCTGGAACTGGAGTTACAGATGGTTGCTAGCCTCCACACTGAGAATCGAACTTGGGTCCTCTGCAAGAGCAGTAAGTGCTCTTAAGTGCCAATCCGTCTCTCCAGGCCACCTGCCTGCTTTTCTTTTGAGACAGGGTCTTGTGACATAGTCTGGGCTGGCTTCGAACTCATGAACTTCCTGTCTGAGTCTCCTGAGTACTGGAGATACAGGCATCCTCCGTGCCCCACTCAAGCTGTTCCTTGTCCCAAGGCATCAGGCTGTGGAGCCACCTCACCGAGGTTTGGGTCCTGGCCTCAATCCTACTAACTCTTGACGCAGTCTGTGTAAGCTGTAACTGGTGAGTCACAAATGGGTTATGAAATCGATTTAGTGGGTCATGACCAGAAGTTGAAAAAAATATACTTAGAAAAAAAAAAATCCCCTGACACACAGTAATTGTACATATCTATGGGGCAGACTTTGACATTTCATTACATGTGCCAATGCACAATGCCCAGATTGGGTTAATGGGGCATATCCATCACCTTGAGCATGTATCCTTCTTTTGGGGAGCACTGGAAATGCTGACTGCTAGCTATTTCGAGATATATAATTAATCGTTGTCAGCCACAGTCACTCTACTGTGCTGCCGAACGTTAGAACCGAGTCCTTTGCCACTGTCCCCATGTCCCCACCATCCACCCTCCCCAGCCCCTGTTTTCCCTGCCAGTCCCAGCTCCTGGCTGCCACCATTCAGCTTTCTGCTTCCACCACATAGAGCAAGTGGTTTTTCTTTCCATCTGGGCCCTCCTGTATGCTAAGCCAGCGCTTTAGAGCTCTGAGTTATATCAGCTGGTCCCATGTCCACGTGGGCATTCAGGACCAGAATTTAAGAAAAAATTAGCAAAGAGCAAAATAGAAGATAAGTAGGTAATGTCAGAATGCACCACACACACACCGAAGGTGGGGGGAATCTGGTGAAATGTTAATCTCTATACTTGGTAAAGATATCGAATCTCCTTTCTCAGAAATAAACAGACAAGGGCTTTGATAGTGATTGTGGGAAAGCTAGTTAACCCGGGTTTTAACTTCCTCTGTAAATAGTGGGGCAGTTTCCACTTGCTAAGACTATTGTGGCAATCAAGCCAGTCCAAACAACTGAAAGTTTAGGATAGACCCTCGCACAGCCATAAGTCAAGAAAGGTCATATGTTAACGGCCTAGCACTCCAGGGTCAGCACACAGTAGGTGCTTTTTCCCCTCGAAGAGTCATAAATGTGTGACACAGTATCACTACTGTTCATGAGCGCACTTTCCGGTTAGTTGAGCAAGACTGAGTGGGGGTTGCTTCAGGCCCTGTCGTCCCACCTGGTGAATGCAAAGGCATGGCTCTCTGGGATTGGCTCCAGGAGCACAGGCATTGGCTTTCTGCATCCCCAACGCTTAGGAGCCTCTCCCATGAGGCAGGATACACAGCGCCTTCTGCTTCAGGATGAGGCTCAGCACCAGATGAGCTGTCTTCAAGGAACAGGGAACGAGCAAGGGTCTGCAACCCTACAGACCTGCTTTCAACCCTTAGCTCCAACGCTTGCTGACTTTAAAAAACAAAACAAAACAAAAAAACGTCTCTGTACCTCAGCTTCCTCACCCAGAAGTGGGAAATATAGTTCCTACTCCATAGCATTGCCATGGGGATGAAATGTTGGTTAGAGGCCTAGCACTGCTTATGAGGAGAGAAGGAGTGGCTGTACTCGAAGCACTCAGAACAGCACTTGGAGGGCAGTAAGTACTAAACACTTAGTAGATACTACAATGAGAGCAGCAGCCCCTGAACTCTGGGCATGAGCTTGGAATCTATAGAGGGGGTTGGTTTGAGTTTACCCTCTCATCGAGTGTGATGAGAAACTCCAAGGCCAAAACGAGTCCAGAGACCCCACTGGTACACTCTGGGGTCCCCTTTCTGTTCTTCCAGGAATCATCATTATTTTATATTTTTTGTTTTACTTAAATCTCCCAAAGTGCTTTACATATATTCTCCACCTTCTCTGTACCCTACGATGACCTTGCATTTCTGACTCTCTTAACCTCCACGGAGCGCTGGGATTGGGACCTGAGGCCACCCTTAGCAGCCGAGCCATGCCCCCAGCCCCCGCATCATCTCATTTAAGCGACACCGTTCCTCAGGGAGCAAAGGTACCGTTCTGCATTCGGTTGGTAGAGAATCTGGGGCTCCAAGAGCCAGCCAGAGCCAGAAAGTGCCCATGGTCTTTCACTGCCCAGACTTCGCCAGCCGCTACACACTTCTCCCTGTTTGGGAATAGCCTGGCGGCTGCCAGACTGTCGACTCCTGGAGGCCTTGTTCACCTGCTAGACACTCATTCAGTAGCGGTGCAGGGGCAGGCCTTGCAGCTCAGAGCAAGCGTATTAGCTGTTCAGCAGCGCCTAGGTGGTCCGGTACAAAGAACTGAGGGTCTGAACTAGTCTCTAGAACAGCCGAGAATCCAGACAGAAACCCTTTAGGGCCATATGCTCCTCCTTTCCAACAACCAACTTCCCCAGCCAGGACTGGGAAGTCCACATCCGCGGCAGAACCAGGCCAGGCCAGCTGGGGGCGCTTCTTCCCAGCCGAACTGGGGGATGGGGTAGGGGGCGCTCTCCAAGGCTGCGGAGGGGCCCAGGGGAGGGGGTTGCGCAGAGCTGGAAGAGAGGTGAGTCAGCGGCCACGGTATTTCTCCAGCAGCTGCTCCGCTGGCGATAAGGGTTTGCCAAGCCCCTTCCCGGGGGCCTGGGAGAGGAGAGCCAGCACCCGCCAGTCTGGAATAGGGGTCCTCGAAGTTTGCAGCTGCAGGAAGATCAGCGAGAAGGACCCCCTTTGGGGATGCCCAAATGATCTTGCTAAGGGGCCTCAGTCGGCCGGGTGTTGTGAGGCGCCCCCACCCCACCTGCTACAAACAGCAGCCAAAGCCCAG